GAGAATTGCCGAGAATCAAACGAACTATTTTCAATTTGATCAATTTTCCGGAACGTTTACAATCGTTCTATAATCGAACCAATATGCAATAACAAATTTGAATTTAAAACGGTTCGAACATTTTTAAAATCGAAATAGATAAAAATATTTATAACAATGTCTGAAATGTTATCAATTTAATACACCTAAGTACTCAATGACGACTAAACATAGTTGAAAACAAAAAATCGCATCTAAAATAGTACAGTAGAAGCCATTCTTCCAGTTAAGCCTTAATGCTCTCCCTCTCCCCCCACTTGGGAATTTCGAAAAATCCCTTCTTAGTGTGCATTGCCATGGCATACCCTACTAAAACACAGATAAAAACAAAAAATCACATCTAAAATAGTACAGTAGAAGCCGTTCTTCCGGTTAAGCCTTAATGCTCTCCCTCTCCCCCCACTTGGGAATTTCGAAAAATCCCTTCTTAGTGTGCGTTTTCATGACGTATCCTATGTACCAAATTTCACCTCTCTAGGTCCAGCGGTTTGCTCTCGGCGATGATGAATGAGTGAGTCATTCAGTCAGTCAGGACAAGCAATTTTATATATTTAGATGACATTTTGCATGATTGGGCTGCAATCCAAAAAAAAAAATTGTAGATTTATAAATTTCCATTGTCATCCATCTGTCTGTCTTTTCTTAATCTCAAGACCAGATATGGAAATCTTAGGGGTAGGTGGCTACAACTGCCTATATATGAACTTCTGGTTTGTACCAGAGGTCATGTTATTTCAATTCAAAAGTTAAACGTTTTCCCCTGAAAGCAGTTAACAGATGATCAGCACGACTCTATTGTTAAAGAAAAATTATGATGTACAGGGGCAAGATACTACTAATTTCAGGTGGAGAGATATTTTAAATTATTTAAATTAAAAATATGATTAAAAATTGCAGCCTGGCATTGTAATGATTTCAAAATAAATAATCGCTCATTGGCTTTGAAGTTGAATATATAAAATATATTTTTTAATGATTCTTACTTTGAGGATGAAAAAGCATGTTTTAAAGTTTGTTAACTGTGAATTCACATAACTAAGTTTACTTCATTTATGTTTCCAACCTGTAAACATAAACGAAGTAAACTTTGCCAACTATAATTATAATTGATTATTTTATGCTCATCTTTCTGTGAAAGATTTGTAATTCTTCACAGTTTATTAGTTCTTGTATTATTTTAACTGAATAAGTAAAACTTTATTTTAATGGTCAGAAGTCAGACCAGAAAAAAAAATAAATAATACATGAAAATTATAAGCTTTTAATGACAGTTCTTTTAGTTTACAACCATTAATTAAAGGGCAATTTTATTTAATTAGAACATGAAATCTGTGTTTTTGTGAGTTTTGTTGGGCAGAAAATTGTTAATTTTTTTTTATTAAAGATAAAAACCTTTCTAAGTTCTGATAACAATTTTTAAATTTTAAAACAGAAAATATTTAATTTTTGAAAAATAAACAAATGTTTTTCTTTTAAGACTTTTGCCAATAATGCAATTTCTCCTGACGTTCTGGATCATTTGCCGAGGCAGATTGGCGACCTGAGACTGGACGGGGATCTTGGCCTCGGCTGCGACACAGTGACGTGTGATCTGATCATGGACGGTCACATGGAACAGTTGTCTCTCGAAATCGAGAAAGAAAGGTTATAAATAATTAGCAATTTTATTATTTTAAGCATAATGCATACCTAATTATTTTTTAATTTTTTTGTTTTTATAGATGTAACAAAGTTTAATGCTAATTTATTATTTAATTTTATAAATTTTCAATGTATTATGCAGTGTGTCTATGGTCCTAGTTGATACAGAATTTTAAAACTTTGATCATGTTAGAATGAAAAAATACAGCTTTTATGTAAAATCTATTATTTTGATGATTTAATCTCTAAAATTTCAAATATTAGTGCAAGTGTGAAATCTTGTATTAAAATATTTTGCACCATTTGTTTTAAAATTAATAACCTACTAGGGTCATATGAAAAACTTTGCACTTTTAATAAAGTCCATGACTGGAGAATTCTTTCAGAAAGGAATTTCTGCCCTTGTTTCCCACTGGGAAAAGAATGACAACTATGTAGAAAAATAGCCATATGATAGTACACAATCTAAACTGTTACGTAGTTGTTATAAAAGATTGTATCTTACTTTCGGAATATAATCCTGGTGCGATTTTTCTGGGACACACTGTACATAATTAATTCAACAAACAACTGTTACATAAATGTTTTCTTTTACATATAAATAATAATCATTATCATAAATATTTAAAGATTATATTTGTTTGTTAGAGTGGAATATTTAGAAAAAAGTAAACATTTGCAAGAACAGTTGAGAGAGTTAAAATCGGAAATAGAAGTACTAAAAGTCGAAGAGAACTTAACACCGATGGACAGGATATATGAAGAGAATGTAATCAGAGGAGAAAGCAAATATTCTACGCTTCGAAAGGTAATCAAAAGTTTACGCAACATTGCCTTATTTTACATGCCATAAAACGCTGAAAAAATTGTCCCACAATCGTGTTATATGTAAAGTTAACCTCTACCCTTTAATTAAACATCAACACATGCAAAAGCAAAGTAACTTTTGAATATTAACTTTTTACTCAACAATAATATGTTAAATAAGTCATTTATCATTAAAATATTCATCAGGGAAAAAGAGGAGTTTAAATGAAGTGTGCATTCTAGTTTTACTTTTTTAAAACCAAGAATATTGTAAAAACATTTGGGGTTGAATCCCAAAGGCTGAAGATGATGTAAATACAATATATAAAAGTATTCTTTTATGTGCCATAAATATAGTAATTATAAAGCAAACAATTTATCCATTGAATAATTTATTTACAAGATCTCAACACTTACTAATAATTTTGTTTTTTCTACTTGTAATTGCATGTTTTGTATTTACTCATTTAAATAAAAGGAATGTCCAATTTTTAAGTCACAAGTTTAAAATATAATAATCGACCAAGTTGGATTAAAGTAGTTTATATTTGGCCATTCAGATTTTGATTGGTTTGTTTTAGTTCTCCAAACTATCCTAACGAAATGAATCGCATATTATTTCCATTTATAGGCGACAAACATGTCTTTAAAAAGTCGAGCATTTCCAACAGTTGATAATATCTCGATACTCATAGCAAATTTTACACATTCTCAATCTTTTTTTTTTTTTAGAATATTCTAAATTAAAATAAGATAAATTGCTTAATACTGTATTCTGTTTAACGAATTAGCCTTAACTTAGCATAGCTTGATAGTAAATTTTACTAATTGTACACATAAGAAATTGAGCTGTTTTTCATAGTTATAAAATAAATTTTGTTAAACCTTAAAAATTAATATTTTTAAGGTTTAACAAAATTTATTTTACAATACAAGCCTTAATTTTTTATATGAAAATTCAGTTAACAAATTTATTTTAAAAAAAACCAACAGGGACTTGTTAGATATTTGCAAGATCTTTTTCTATTTGTTGCATGTCTGCTTCCAAGTAAATAAAACCATTTCTAGAAAGATTTCTTATCATTTTCAGTAGAGAAGAAAAAATTAATGTAATTTAGATGTAGTAGTTTTTTATCTCATGATTGCGTGCTTATAATCATTCTAAGGATACTATCCAAACTAGATACGAGATCCAATATGATAGTCTTACTGGCATAAAAAAATTCTGCAGAAATTACAACATTTAAAACATAGAAGTTAAGCAAGTTAACATTCAGAATTCTGTGACAAAAATTCATATTATCAGATTATTGCAGATTGATAAATTTTATTTTTTTAAGAATGAAAATGATCAACATGTGTCACTAGTTATATAAAGAATTAAAGCCTGTTACACTTAGGCACTCGATAAACTTGGATTTAACAAGACAGACAGATGGATGCTGCGGCATTGGTTTGAAAATTGGGAGACAAACCTTCAAAACAAGCCATGTAATTGACTGAAAAAAATGACAATTAAAAAGCAGTGATTCCCAAATGTTTCTTCCAGCCCCTCTCTCTCCTATCTTAGAAGAGCTTTTTTTAGAATATTTGTTTGCAGAAATCACTGTTTTGAATTTAATTACTTTCTTACCTAATTAAAATAATAATACATATAATGTTATATAATAAATATCTATTACAGTATTTTGTCATAGAACATTTTTTTAACAACACAGATTTTTCTTACTTGTAAAGCAAACGATCGGTTCCTGAACACCGGTCTAAAGTCTGTCATTGGAGCAGGGAGCGAGTTTGCAAAGTGAACAAAAGTTTACATAAAAGACTGGGAACCATTTGTGATTATTTTCTTTTAGATAAAACTGAATTATACCTGATATATCCAGAAACATGCTCAAAATGGCAATATGTTGCAATGATGATAAATTTCGTGGAATTCCAAACCATTCAAATGTAGGTCAGTTAAGAGTTAAGTCGGGGTGTATGTACCATACATTACTCTTACTTACAAGCTTACATTAAGTAACTTGCAAGGCACACATTATATATAATTTTTAATTACTATTAATATAATATATTAATTTATAACTGTTTAAATGAATAAGATCTAGTCATTAAAATTAAGTAACAATTGTTAACCTTTATATTTTTAAATATTTAATTACAAGATTTGTATTGTTTTTCAGACCAAGTCGGGATCCACAAAAGCCAGAGTCGCATTTTTTGAAGAATTGTGACAAAACTCCACAGTCGGCGTATGCCAGATTCATCACCAGTTCCGAAAAGGTCACGTTTTACTCTTGTCACGAACCCAAATTTACGTATCGATTCAATTCCAAAGTAGTAGGCTGGATTCCACTACTAAAACACAAAGCTAAATGCTGTCTGTGGCCATTGTAAATAACCATAGTTTTTCTCCAGATTTTTACCACGTTCGACATGTGGTCTGACGGAGCATTTTCTGGTTTTCCAAAAAACGTCGTCCTCTCGGTCACAGACTGCACTTTTATGTAACTGCCGCGGTCATAACAACGTAACTTGCATGGTGAAAAATCTCAATTTGTTGGCTTATGAAATATAAACCCAAGCTATAATTTTGGCAAAGTAAGTCATTATTTGTTTCTCAATGTTTAAATACTAAACTTTATTTTGCTTTATTAAAGAGACGTCTGCATTCTGAGTTCGTAGTATAATCACTCCATAAAGGCAGCTTATTGACGTGTAATTTATTTAATCAATTATACAGTTGGCAAATTTTTCATATTGCATTTGATAGAATCTCAAATATTCTTGACAGTCTTTCTTATAAAGAATTTATTTTATTAGAACTTTTGTCCATCCGTCTGTTCTTCGTTTATGTGAAATTAACCGCTAGGTCATTTGACATAGTTTAAAAGAAGCCGAAAAGGCTAGCGTGTCGAGTTTATTGGATGAAATGTTTCAATAGTGTGGCAGATTCTATTCTCTTCTTTAACTGATTGTCCAAAAACAAAAGAAATCTTTCAACTGCCATTTTGACTGCATTATCAATAAAATTTTTAAGAATTAGTTGGCATTTGTTGCATGATGATAAATACTTTGAGTTTTGATAATTCTGCTTTATAACTGGTTACAAGCATATACAAAATTTGTTCAACAGAAGCATAAATGTGTCCTATTCAGTTCACACATCTCAAATAATCTTCTAGATTTTGTAATCAATGTGATGGTGTAGTATTGTAGTATTGTTTAGTTGTACGGCATAATAATTAGTCCAAATAATCTATCTTCCTCCTCACTTTCTGATTCTTTTTAATTAATTTAGAGAACAAATTGATAATAATGCAAACAGTAGGTCCTTCTATCAGTTATTTTTTTCAAATTTGTTTTGAACCTCAATTTTGATGACAGGTCGAGGTTCCTTGGTAGGGTTTCATATGTTATTTTGCTAATGTTCATATGTTTCGGTTGCTAAAGCAACCTCTGTCTATTAAGCCAGTGATTCTCACAGATTTACCATGCAATGCATTCTATATTTGGTATATTCAAAATGTCTGATTGTGGATTGAGATCTGGGATATTTTAGAGATATAAACTATTGAAAATATCTCCTAAAAAACTTAAATGGAAGGAATATGCCATTGGCCACATGTCCCATATTTGTAATTGTTGAAATGATTCCAAATTTTCTGTTTAGTGGATCACAGTGTTTTTATCGAACTGTTTTACAACTGTGCTTTTTTCCTCTTTTGTCAAAAAAGTGGTTCTTAAACTTTTTAAAGGTACAAAATTAATGTACATATAACAAGAAAGATACTCTAAAATATATTTTGCCATTATGGATTAGTTGACAAAAATCGGAAATCAAAGCCAGATTTTGCAAACGAACAAATATATTTATTACATGATAAACAGACAAACGGGTCACAGGCTCGTTGTTGCCATGTTAAATTCTTCACCCAAGTGCACTAATTATTGAAGTGCCTTTCTATCGACTTTGTTAAATGTTACAATTTGTTTTTTATTAGTATCTAAATAACTTGCAAAGCATTTTTGCTTGTAAATGAAAAATTATGTATTTTGACAAGATTGTTATTGCATGAAAAAGTCATGGCTTGCGAGATTTTTCTGCATATTTAAAAAAGAAAAAAATGTTTATGTGAAGTGTTTTGGGACCAGTGTTTTTCAAACGTTACAAAGTTATTTCCGAAAGCGGACACCCCTCTCATGTTTTTGCCAAATTGTTACATATACGTAAATCGTGCCAATCGCGTACGGTAGTCTCGCGTTTTCCCGGTCGAATCTCCAAATTCCTTGGAACGTTTGGCTTGCTGGTCAGCCACTTGCAAAATGTAAATGAAGTATTGTAAATACATTATTAATGAGATCTGTAGATGAAAAATATTTTTAACCAAAGTTTGAAAAAAATTGTAGCCGTTAGTATAGTGTACCTACTTAATTTGAAAATAAAAACTTTGTTAAATTTAACAGAGCGACGAGTTGGTATTTTATTGCACTTGAGAAATCTTTCCAAATTATAACAAAAAGTCAGAATGACTTTATTAGTATTCCGACTGTACAAAAGTAACGCACGACGGCACTTTGTATTGTGGTAAAAATTTTAAGGCATGGGAGATGGCACTCGTCTTTGACCAGACAGATTACCTTTTCAGTAGTCCTTCTACAGATTCCAAATTTTTTCTGTCAAAAAATGTTCACAAGTATTTAGAATCAATGGAGAGCAATTTACAAGAGAAGGAAGAAAAAGAAAGGAACTTACTTTGCATCATCGATTTGGGACTGTAGTCGTTCCCTGATGGCCTGGCCGGTGGCACTTATCTTTTTTATCTCCAGATCTTCTATCGCATTCTTGTATCCGAGAACGTTATAAAATATCCGGACGTGTTTGCCCGCGGCGGCTGACAGGTACTGATTGTCTGCAGAAAAGTGAAGGGCGGCAATCGGTTCTGAAATGGAAATGGAAATGTTGGTGTGTGTCAGGTGTAAATTGCCATCATTTTTGGGATTTGAAAAAGTACATAAATAATTACCTTCGTGTATATTCTCCAGAAGGCTCTGTTTTTCTCCAGTCACACCGGAATATATTGTGACTGTCGAGAGCATTGCCAGAGCCACCGTCCTACCATCCGGCGAGAGAGCCACGAGACAAGGTCCGCGGTGGTCAAAATTTCCTGTTTTTAGAAGGTATGGCTCCTGACCTTTTTGATACTCAACTAAAAATAATTTAACGTTTGTTTTAGTTTTACAATTGATCAGCTGCAAAATTAAAGAATGCATCTGAAATATTAACAAAAAGCAAATTGTGTAGTCAAAGAATTTATTCAATCATGAAATAAAGGTACTCTGGACTCCCTCCATCCAAATACCATTTTGATGCAAATGGTCAAAGATAAACATTATGAAGAAACCATATCAAAAACACTACTACACTAGATAAACTTTATTTATTGAATACATAGCCAATAAAGCATTGCTACAGTGTGAGACTCATCACCAAATTAGCTAAAAATACACAAACTGAATATAATCAACAATACGTGCACAGATAAGCAAGACATAACCCAAGATCAGTCATACAAACCCCAGAGTACAATCCCAGGCTACACAAAGTATACTCTAGAATAGCTAGGGAGGTAAACAAAGACAAATGGAAAAGACTATAGATAGTATATGGACCCCGGGCATATATAAAATTCCGTTACTATTATAGATACCAGGTTCAACCAACACCTTGATTACATTGGCTCAGCTAATAGATTATTAATAACCAGATTAAGGAAGCATGTGTACGACATCTCAAAAATGAACTATAACACCATTATGGTCCAATTTGCAAGTGACCCAGGGTATCTCTGTGTTGGGCGATGCTGAACTTACCATTATTATACTACAGCTAAGAATAACAGAAGCCATCAAAATTTATAAAGCAATACTCAAGGAATGTTGCATTAACAGTAAAAAAAATTAACCTATTGAAAGCATGGCAAGTAATGATTTGTTACCTTTCAGTGTAGCAAATTTTAACCCATTGTTGTAAATTTTGTCACCCATAATCCAATTATTAATATGTATGCTACAACATGTAAATTTTTTCTAGTCTATCTCCAGCTGTATTATGAAAAGTTGTGTACATTGTTTAAATTTTTATTATGTCATATTTTGTCATTATATATGTTAATTTTTTTTTAATTTGAATATTGTCACATTTCATATAGAACATTCCTCTTTTAAAAATTTGTTAAATTAATCACATTTGATTTATGGAAATGTATAATAACCTGACAAAGGAGGTGATCAAAAACATTCAATTTTTCCAATAAATATACCCAATGGAACCAGTAAGGAAGGTAGGTCTGTGAGTAATTGCAATTTTTGTTTTTGCAGTTATTTCACATGTGATACAAAATGCCATTCAAATCAAGTGCAAATATTTTTCTCAATCACCAAAGCAACTTCTGTGTGCATTACAGTTACCAAAAACTTTGAACTTTGCCATTACAGTAATTTGTAGCCATTTTTAATTATATTTTACCCCTATTTACAATAATTTGTGGTAGGATCCAGAGATTGGGGAAGTTTTAGTTGACTAGAAACTGTATATGATAATGGTATATCAGCACATATATTTTTCAGAAGTATAACTCCTCACAGAGTTTAACTCGAAAGATAAATTAAAATCAAAATGCAGCCAAAGAGAAACTGCTTGATGTGTGTGTGAGACAGAAGGACCATATAGTTTGGTGCACTGTCATCAGCATAGAGGAGGAGAAAATTTTGAAGCTTTGGATAATGACGATGTGTTGTCTTATTGCCAATTAAAAACCAAAAATAATGGAAATAAAGAATTGAACAACTATATTTTAGATTACTTCTAACATTAGGATCCAGAAATAGTCCACGACAGGACCTATCTTGAAAGATGATGATTTAGAATTTAAAAAAACAAAGGTATTTCTTCATTCAAAGCTTTGTGGCTACTTGATTTAAACAACAAAACAACATTAAATCTTTAAATTTAATGATTGTTTTGTTATTTAAATGTAATTTGTAGCAAATCAGACTATTCATAGACTGAGAATGGAAAGAAAAGTTCCCCTAACTACATAGAGATTGCACTCAATTTTTTGTGGTTCCTAGATGAAATGAGACCATTTTTCAAGCTCTCCCAAAACAAAACCTACATGGAAATGTGCTGGAGGAAAATATCAAAACAGAAACTTACTTTTTTTTCTCTGCATCAATGTTACTGGAGAAAAAATTAAACCACTTTCTCACTTTTTCTAACAAGATGCTTTAAAAATGAACATTTCTACTATCCAATTCAGTGGAAAGCAAACAAAAGAGTCCGGATGACTACAGAATCTTTTTTAAATGGCTAAAATCATCTGATGAAAACATCCTGCAATGGATTGTGTAACTTTGTTGGATGTTATCAGATTTTACTTATATTATTTGAGGATAGAGACAAATTTTTTAAAATATTGTAAATGCCAGTAACAATTAAAATTTTCATTAAGTCCAACCCCATTCAAGATGTGACACAACCCCCTCTATCTCCCCACCCTGAGCTTTAACAACTAAAATTTAATAGCATCTATATCCCTTAAATACAAGCTACCATGCCAAGTTTTGTTTCTTAATCTTTACCTCATCCTGAAATATTAAATGAAATAGATGCCCCATACACACAGCTTTTCCTATTTTTGACTTTTTTGGGTTTGGGGAGACTCAAAACATTGAGATTTGCAAAAAAACCTGCAGGATCAAATTTGATGCGATTCCAATACTTTCCTGTGTTATATACATAATAACCAGAAAGTAAATGAGGAAAAATCTTTATTGATAATGCTACATTACACCTTACTTTACAATACTATAAACTTTTTACCACCAAATTGCATTTCTGATATTCAACCTCTTGATCAAAATATCATTCATTGAAAACCTTAAAACTTACTATCATTGCCTTTTTGTTTTGTTTTTTGAAAAAGCATGATCAGTGTTATGAGTCAAGCAAAAATCGGCATTTGAGATATCAAAAAAGTAACCGTTTTAGCCTTCTACCAAACCCAGAAAGCTTGGTCCGAAACAAGTCCTTGTACAATCAACCAGTGGAATCTTTAAAAACGACAAAATTGATAGATGACCCCAGATGCGATCTTGCACCTCTGGTTAATCTTGTCAACAGTAAACTTAATTCTATGTTGTATTGCACAGTCGATTTAAATTTGCCAATTTGTGCAAAAAATTTGAACCAGAGGTCAATCGAGTACATTTGGTAAGTGTGGAGGGAGATTAATGACATGGAATATCTGATTGATTACATTTCAGCAATTTGGAAGGAATATGAAAGATACAATGCAGAATTTTTCTCTGCTTTAAACCAACCAGATAATTTGTATTCAACCACAGCATTTAAAAATGTAATGTACAAATCAGAACAACAAATTATGTAAACTTTTAATAAACTATTGTATTACCATATTTTGTTTGTGTTGTGTGGAATTAATTACTCCACACAACACATTAATCAAAGGGTTAAAATGAAGTGTGAAGGAAGTCATCATTATCTAATTGTACAAAACTATTTTTAATTCCCTCAATTGTAGGTATGGTATTAAGATAAAGAAATACTGTACAACAAGACATGCATACTTTCCTTTTATTAAATATTTAATGCAAATAGTTTGGAGAGGTCCCATAATTGTTCAGAATAATTTTTGTTGTTTCACATATAAAAGACAGAAATATTGCAAATTAAAGCATGACATCTATAACAATAGAGAGGTAAGGCAATATGAACAAATATTTTATGACAAGAATAAATCTAAAACTAGCTATATTTGTTTATTATTATGATTATTGAAAAAAATATTAAATATGCAAGTTTGTGGTACTAAAATTTAAGAAAAAAGCAACTGAAAAAATTATAAGCTGTCCCTTTTTTGTTCTAACCATAATCACAATAACAAAAATTGTTTTGAAACAGTGTTAATGCAATGACATTATCAAATATGAAAGCATTTTTTTAAAATTAACATAAGTATGTTTATGTTTTTGCAAAGCCAACCACATTTACAACATATGCATAAAGAATTAATGAATGTAATCATGTATAATACGAGTCTTCAAAAGACAAGGTTCAACTTACTGTTTGTGTCCCAAATCTTCCATGTACCATCTTTGGATACAGAAGCCATTCTAGAAATAATATATTTTTACTGGTATCAATACTTATTTTAAACATTTAAAAAAGAAAATTTTTATGAAACAACAGTTTATTATTTTATAAATCAAAAGAATTATCATTTTGTGTTTTTTTTAGAACTACAAACATCCAACTTGCAGTCTTCAAAGTATTAAATATAAAAATAACAACAGCCAAGACTAATCTTTCATTAATTATCATCAGATGTATGGCAAATAAATATATAAGATGTGAGCTAACAAAAACATAGAATTATGCAAATCAAAACCTCAAAATTGACCACTGCCCAATGGTAAGTGTTGAAATAGTTTTAAGTCACCACCAATATTGCCATTTGGATTTTATAATTTCAACAATGAATTAAAAGTTTTTATTAAAAATGTTATAGATAAATATTATTGTAATCACACATTATTATTATGTTTGAACTTTTTAAATAATACACAAACATATTTAGCATTTATTCATGTATTATTTAAACATATTTATAAGCTAACAAAGTTAAATACAAACCATTAGATTCTAGGGCTTTTGATATGATGTCAGACAAGTTTCTGTAGTTACGCGACTATTTTTGCTCGATATTGTGGCTTGTGATATCAATTTTTGCAAAATTTTAAAGAACCAATGATCATTTCAACTATTCTTCTAAGAATTATTGCTTGCTATCATGCCAAATGTGGCATGCCAACATTTTTCAGTTGAGTGATTGGTCACTCACCTCACCACATGCTCCAACCACTGTTTCCATGGTTGATATAATTGTAACTCTTGTATATAGTTCTGTAAAATAAATTTGTGACAATGACCATTGGACTCCATCGTCTATCCTGGAATCATTCATTCGACACAACAACGACACTATTCGTCAATGTAATCAGATTGATTGACATAACCGATTTTCTTCTCAAGAGGTGTGCCTTAGTGGCCTCCCCACTGTGAGCCAGATGTGACTTCCACAATGTAATAATCTGGACTAGGTGATTCCAGTGACGCAGACCATTTCAAAACTCGGTCTCTCCACACAGTCAAACAGCCAAACTAACCATTAGTTACAATTTATGGTCAATGTAATAAGAGTTACAATTACATCGACCATGGAAAGAAACAGTGGTCGGAGTACGTGGTGAGGTGAGCGACCGGACAGAAGCATGTCCATCTGAAAAGTGGAGTTAGTCACAGTCTGACATCATGTAGGTTGGGGATGATAGTCAAACACCGCAATCTAATCTTTTGTATAACATTTGAGTTTATTCCTTATTCTACTCTGTAAATTTAATATTGTCGTCTTCCTCCACAACCCTTTCACTACTAAAAATTTGCATATTTGTGTTAAACTAATATAAAATAGTTCGACATTTGATTGCTATTAACCCTGATTAACACTTTTAGTGAATATTACAAATTTAATATAGTGTTTGTATACTTTTAACGTAATTATTAACTAAATTTTATTAATATTTATTAAAAGACACTCTGACAGTTTCCGTGTAAGTGTAACAAATAGGTAACTGGTTTGCAAAAAGTTGTAATTTGTAAGTTTGATCTAAGTTAGAAGTTAAGAAGCTTTTTTTTTTTTTGTCATATAAAAGTTGAATTCTTTTACTATTGTTGCTTAAAATAATAATTAATTTTCTTTAGAACTAAGCAATTTTTCTTGCATTTATTGTTGTATCATTTAACATGTTAGTGTTAATTAAAACTTAAAAGAAATTTTCTAAATATAAACTAACTACTGTAATTTTTGTAAACATTAAATTTCATTCTTAGCAGGTTCCTCTTGTCAAATATTGTAAATTTATCTGAAATTAGATAAGATTGAGATTTGGAATCTTATAACAAATTTTTCTTATTAGTTTAATTTACCTTGTTGAATCATTGGAAAATGAAAAACAGTAGACCCCAGAAGAATGTCCTTTTAATTCAAATGCTCGTCTCACCTCTTTAAATTCTCCAGATTTGTTAAAACATACATCCCAAACTTTAACATCAGGAGTAAAGCCTACAAATAATAAATATGAAAAAGTTTTATACAGATTTTATTCTTCTGAAATCTGACTTGATACAATCTTTTTATATTTAAATATGTTTATGAATAATTCAGATAGATCATAAATAAATGTAGGAAAAAAAATACATTTTAATCTATAAAGAAACAGAAAGTAGAAATTAAAATTTTCAATTTTACTATAAAATATCATTGTCATCGAAATATTGAACTTTTAATTAATATTAATTCTTTCTAAATTATCTGTGAAAAATATCTAAGAGCTAAAAATAATTTTTATAAAATACACACAAATTTACTAATCTAGACATCAGCGATTTGTCTATCACTTGCAGATCCACCAAAAAGGTTCAAAAAACTAATTAAACAAGCAATTATTTATTGTGACATCATCACAATGCAAGCTGCAATTTTTAATTTATTTAATTTAAAATATATGCTCCCACCTCAAATTAGTAGTCTTGCCCCCTTACATCATATGTTTCCTGCTAGCAATAGAGTTGTGCTGGTCATCTAATCCCTTTTGGGAGAAAATTTTTGAATTTAAATAATATGCCTTCTGATGAAAACCAGAAGTTTGCATACAGTTAATTGGGGCTTCCTGCCTCAAAACTTTCCATAACTGGTCTCAACTTTCATCTATCTAACTCTGTTCTTGAGATTAAGGAAGGATTGATAGACAGACAGAAACAGTGGGAATTTATAGGTCTAAAAGTTTTTCAAATTTCAACCCAACTAGCTGGTATATAACACATTTAACTAAGTTGTCACTTTTGTAAGTTGACCAGGTTGCTTGCTGGGCTACTGGATTCTTTTGTTTATTAATTTTGCATTCCAAAGAGTCAATAATAAAATCAGAAAGTAGACTTGTAGAAAGAAGCTGTTTTTTAAAATTTGATGGCTTATAAATGTCTATCAGTCTTCTTTCTGACCAAATATTTATCTCTCTCCATTACACAGCATAAAATTTATCCTAGTAATAAAGATATTCATTACTGTGAACTTTTAGATGTCAAACATCCTACTTAATTCAAACTTACTTTTGTTTAGACACAGTTTGATGAAAGTTAGAAAAAGTTGATTTGGAACTGAAAGACCAAGTGTTTGGCATCTTACAATACTGTTAAGAATATTGTGGAAAAAATTAAATTATTTATTAATGAATTTACAGGCATTTAAATGGTACATGCCTGTAAATCCACCAAACTGTAATAAATACAGCTGAAGAGGGACAGACAACCTGTCCGAAATGCATACCATTATCATAGAAAACCTGCATCTACCCATTTCTATACAATTACTCCGACAACGTCAATAGTGTGTGATAAGTCATCCATAGAGTTAGAACTTAGATGTCATAGATTCATATTGTAACATAAGGACAGAAAGCAAATCACCAATTAATTAGAGCATTAAAACTCCTTGAGAAGTTTAATCACAGAATAGAAAAAGAACATACACCATTGTCTGTCAGCATTACGTAAAAAGATTTCTTTTTGATAAATTTTATTATCTAAGTTTTATAGATCACAGAATAACTTGGTTACTGTATTGCTGTTGTAGAGCAATTGAATTTCTGACAGCTTAATAAGACACTAGTTTACTGTATTCAGATTGGCTTGTTCACTGTTATCTGAGTTCATCCAAGAAGTATTCAAATACCTAGTATAAGTTTTCAGGAATAATAAAAACTTTTTAAAATGAAATAGTTCTCAATTTTTGCATTTGAATACTCCCATCTTTATTTGGAATCAGTTTGGATTAAACCTGGTAATAGAAATTATTTACATACACAAAAGAGATTTTATCGAAACAAATTGAATATAATTATATGACATTCACTTGGTATAATTTAAAGATTAAAAAAACCATACTAAAACCTGTTTAAAATGGAAACTTGCCAAAACAGAAAAAATTTGGTATTGTATGATTCCAGTTTACACAGATTTTACTATATATTGTTTAAGTGGCACACTTTTTTTGTGCATAATATGAAAAGATTAATGTGATACAAATACAAATAAATTTATTTGACAAGTCCTAATAAAATCATAATTTGAATAAAAGCAATAAAGACTTGGAAAATCTCAATTTCTTACAGTAGATCATTGATTATCTGAAACAATTCAGGATGGGTTGTTCAGATAACTGATCATTTATGAAAAAATATATTAAACACAAAACTGTACTGTATATATTTTGAATCACGTCTTACAAATTCATACCTTATACCTTATTTTGATATTGCATGTGTAAGTAGTACATTAAAGTAGGCCTACAGTTTAGGTTGGCATGGAGGGAGAGAGTGTTGCACTAGTGTAAATGCCACAGCACTAGTGGAAATTTGAATTTGCTGATTGGAACACTTTTAGTTAACCGATGTTTCGGTTGAATGGTATTCGGATAATTGATGCTCTACTGTATTATTATTTTGATATTGCATGTGTTTTTAATGCAAATAACTAAAACTTTTTTATATTCTAAACACAATCTTATGGAGGATGACACAGCTCAATACTTAAGAATCAATAACTTTAAAAGAATTTTTTAAATTTTCAGATTATTATTTAACATATGTATATTATCATCAAGTATGAGCTCTCATTTAAAAATTCCAATGAGCTAAATTGTATGTTAAAGAAATCTAATAATCAAAATTAAAATAATGTAAGAAGATACCTTTTTCTTACCTGATGAAGCCACAAATCTTCCACAATATGACACACAAGCATAATAGTTATTTATGTGAAGGGTATCAATTGTAGCTAAGACCTCTCCTATATGATGAAATAAATATATTTCAATAATTAATAAACAAACTGATTTAATAATTATAATGAAAAATTTGTCATATAATTAGAATAGCAAAAGATGGAGTGAATATTTTGTTTATTTAACAGTATAGATACTTCAAAATAGTCATGAATTTTTTTTGGAATGAAACAAGATGTTTTGTAAAAAATTAATATTATTTTTAACATAAAATTCACCTTTTAAATCCCATATTATGATGGTAGTATCTTTGGAACAGCTCATCATATACTGGCCAGTGCAGGCGATTCCAATGTTAATAATGTCTGATTTGTGTTTTTTTGGAAATACAATGATGGGTTCAGCATTGCCTAACATTCCATCATCTCTCTTACTGAGACGATAGACTTGAATGGCATTTCCATTGGCTTGACAAATAATAAAAGCTTTTCCGTCAGGACTCCACTTCACTTGAGTTGCATGATCATACTCGATATTAATTCTGACTGATCTTGAATAAATAAAAAGTTTTTAAACATACATAAAAATTATTTTCAAGAATACATTTATACTAATCATTTATATATATTTTTTATCTACAAATATTAATTGTATTAAAACGTTTGGGATGTAATCCAACAGCACACTGAACACAGCAGTAGAAAATTTGATTCTTACAGTACCTATAATAGACACATTTACCTTGCGAATCATTCACCACAAAGTGTCTGAAACTAATGTTTCTTCCGTTAAAATTGTTACTCAAAGATTGTCTTCTCTGGATTTGAGGTGTGGAAACTGGAGCTTCATCATCTATCTCAACTTCCTAGGTGTGGATAAGAGTTATCATCAGTTTTCTTCTGAACTGAAGGAATCATAATGGGTATTGGTATTGTCTCGAATGATTTGGTGCTTGCATTGATGATGTACACATTGATGAACTTAGCAAATAGAGACCATCACCATTTCTTCTATCATATATGAAGCCTACAGTTCAAGAGCAAGCAGTCCAGTATATTCATGCTTCCCATTTCCAAATTATATTTAGAATTCAGTAGATTCATGCTTCCCATTTCCAAATTATATATAGAATTCAGATATGGTTGCATGTACCAGACCCTCACTTTTGCAACTAGGGAATCTTTGCCACAGAGATGGGCTGGCATTCTTCAAAGTTGGATGTAAGAATAACAGACTACTTACAGAACAACTTTTATTATCTTTTCAGACTAGGCACAGGATTTCACTGGTCTTGTGGAATCTCAATTCGTGTACTCCTCTTTCCTTTTTTTGAGGACTTTCCACTGTCAGTTCTCATGGATGGAGCCTGTTACAAGGAAGTCTCTCTCTTCAAGCAACACTAATAGGCTGTATGAATTAAAAAGTTGTCAAAATAGAATTTAAAATTCTTTGGAAGCCAATTTTTCAACCACAAGCTTTCCTTCAGTCCCATCATCTTCAACTGTCAATGTGTCAACGATAGGTGATAAAACAGCGACATGTACTTCATCATCACTTTTTAGGTTCTGTTCATTAATCAATGCTAGGGTCTCTTCTACAGTGCAACAGTGATTTGAATGCATTCTAAAGACTTAATATTTTGATAACAACTTTTCAAACCAAAGTTGTGTTTTCATAACATTACTTTTTTGACAAAGACATACCATGATTTATGCAACATGCTTTGTTTGCAGAATACCAAATTAGAACAACTTTTTATCTTTATAAAACAATGCAATATGGTCACTCAAATGACACTCTAACTGTAATTGTGTAATTTTTGAAACTAAGTTGCAAAACAAACAAAATCACAAATTTATTAAATGTATAAAAAAAACACTAAATTAATGAAAATGAAGGTTTTTTTCACAAGTTTCAAATTAATTGAACTTAAAAGAATGGTATAATATAGAAAAGTAAACAAAACAATAAGAAAAAAATATTCAATTTATATAGAAAACAAAATGTGCTATTGCTACTTTGGTATTAAATGGGTTAATCTGCCATTTCAAGTTATCCTCATTAAAATATTTTAAATTCTTTAGTTTTTTTTTTTTTTATAATTATTAGAGAACTGTCTATACATGTTTTTTCTTCATTTCCTCTCTCCCATAATCAGGGCTGTGGAGTCGCGTAAAAATCTACTGACTCCAACTCCGACTTTTCCTTACCAATCCGACTCCAACTAAAACACCAAAACTCCACGACTCCAACTCCACAGCCCTGCCCATAATGCTCTAAAAAAACTTTATTGTTGTTCTTATCAATAGTATATATGCGTGTCTGTATGTGTAAATTATTATTGAAAGATTTTTTACATGCTAGGTAATTAATAAACACACATTGTGATCAGAAAATGACCCTCCAAACTTTTCTATTCATATTAATATATCTGTCCATGGAATCATATAAAACCATTTTATCATATTTGTATATAACATGTCCATAGATAACTTAAGTCAATCAAATAGATACTAGGTACCAGAACTGTTTTCAAAGTATCAGAAATGTGTGTTTCTGACTGTGCAATGTAAAGATTTCAGTGGCAAACCAAATAAAACAGCAATTCCTGCAATTCCAGATTGATGTTTTTGATACTGACCAGAAACATATTTGTAATCCAGCAAACATGTAAAACAAAAAAGTTTTGTCCAAACAGAAATATATTTGCAGATTTATATAGATGACTGAAATTATTTATCTTCGGATAAATATCTCAATGTTCTAAGCCAGCCCAGTTAAAAAATAATTGTTAGGCCAGATTATTATATTTGATACAGCATAATAAAATTTTGCTCTGTAACTACAAAGACATCAAACTAGAATATCTATTCATTACAGTAAAATATGAGTAGAATATTTAAAATGTTTTTCTATTAATTTTAAATGGTTGCGTAAGTGTCTATGTTTGTGGTTCTCAAAGTTATCAATCCAATGACCACTTAAACCAAGTCAGAACGAAATGCAGACCACTTCCAGTAAATATTACCTTAGATAATGATAAATTGTGTGCCAAAATATTTTGTTTTCTTCTGATAACTTAACATGAAAGATGTGTGATGCATGAAATTTTTCTTTCCACTGACTAAACAACACAACTGCATTTTAGAAAAATGACTAAGTCAGTCTGTAGACCACCTGGCACAAGCTTGCAAACCACCTATAGTCCACTGACTACACTTGGAGAAACACTGGTCTAGGCAGTCACTTGGAGCTATTTCATGTGGAACACTGATTTATGTAGAATTTTGTGGTCTGTGACATGCAATAAATCAAACACGAAACCCACACATAAAACAAAATCATACTGTAGTATTTTGAAAAAAAGAAAAGACAAATTCCAAGCTAGAATTTTCCTATGTCTGAAAAACAATAGTTTTGCAGTCAAAATGTGAATTTTCAAATTAAAAAAAAGAGAATACTAAACTATAAATATGTTAATTATAATTTCCAATTGATTTTTTCAACAAATAATAATTGTATTAACCTTTAATTAATTAAAGGTTTTAATAACTAAGTCTTTTGGATAGTTTCAATCATTACCAAGTTTCAGAATACTAAATAGACTTAAAAATCTAATAAATTTTTAACAAATGCATATCATATAATTCATGATGTCCAACATTTCAATGCTTAACCAATCCTGAATGAAATGCTTGTATATTTCAAGTGCGCTTATGTAGTAACACTTGGCATAAGAGATAGGGAGATAACAATCGACCATAAATCATTGCAAAAATAAAACTATAACGTAAAAGAAAATACTCAAGCTTGAAAAGTAAATGCTTGCATGAATGTTGCATTTTACGAACATAAAACTTAACATAGCTTTTGAAAAAAATGTGCTAAAATAGCTATAGGAAATACGACGTCGAGTTAAATAAAGACAATAGCTCATACCTATAGTGAAAAACGAACTGTAAGAAAGAGCATTAAAAAAATACATGTAAATGATTTTAAAATAAATGAAGTTTTAACGGAATAAATTAATAGCTAAGCAGTAAAGAAACTATTAAAAAATAAAAAAAAATGAAATTTCGACAAGGCAGAGAGCCTTGTCGAAAGGCAGAAATGAAATAAGAAATGGTAATTATTGATGCGTTATCAAAATTTTTCTGTTATGAATTAGTCGAATGGCATCTGTGAGTTGCCACAGATGCAAAACCATTGATTGCCATAACGCAATTNTTTCTTAATATATAAATGTTTCAAATTTATTATTATAGAAATTACATCATATACTTACTTAATATCTTTTTGATTTTTCACATTATTTCTGAAATAAGTCATTAATTATTTATATATTGGCTTTTAATTTATCATTTCAAAATAAATTTTCACTTACTTCTGACTCAATGTTTTTGTGTTCCATAACATTACAGTTCTTTCTGAAATATTCAAATCAAAACAATGTCTACATTAGTTCATATCTGACCAAACTATAAATATGGACGACGACAAATGTTAATTTATATGGAATTATTCAACAAAATAACTAATTCAGAAATAATCTAAATTACTCAGTGTGTATTAGATGAGTTCCTAGTGTGAAAAAGGACAAGCGAAGAGGCTATTTTGGATAGTCTATGCTAATATTTTAAAAACAGTTTATTTTTCAAACACTGCAATAACTTAAATTAACATATATTTGCATTTTTTAAACATAAATTGTGATAAAAAAATTTCATACTTTGGTTATTTCATTTATTTATGTAAGCATTTCTCTGAGATTAGCCAAATATGATTTTCCATAAAACTTTTTAAACTGAAACTGTTTATTTATTTATAACAAAACCATTAAATTTGATACTTAATCATCTTAAAGATTTTAGGAACCAACATCAACGCATTTCAATATTTTAGAAACTTAGACAGTGGCATAACTACTATTATGCAACCTATCAAGTGCATGGATGCCCTCGGCGTCTCATACTAGCCGTAACAGCCAAAATTATAAAAAAGTATTTGAGGAGTACAATGGACAATGAGAGACTAAGTGGTTTAGCGTTACTTTCTATCAAAATTTCAGAAGTGAGGAAATTAAGACTTGTCAAAGCAATGGATAAATTTTCTGCAATTAAGTCCAAAAATATTTTAGGTGATGAGCGTTAATCAAAAAGTAGGCCTACAGTATAATAATGTACTTACGTAATTTATTCATTTAAAAAATAGTAATCACTTTATAATTTTACATATATTACACTGTATTGTAAAAAAATTACAGAAAGCCTAATGGGGCCTGTTTTGGAAATATTGCACAAGGGCCCATTCATGTATACTTATGACACTGAACCTAGATAACATTAAGATTTTGATAGTTCTATATAGCTACTCTCTAAAATTTCAAAGCTGTATGATAAAATTGTCATAAAGTACTCAGCAAATCACCAAACATATAAATAACACCTTATCTTTGCCAAGAAATATGTTATTCCGTTAGGTTATTTTAAATTTTATTTATTTTTATGTTATTCCGTTGTTTATTTGATTTTTAATTTGAATTTTTTATTCTATTAATGGAATGCTTTAGTTCCAATTTTGTTCTCAACCTGATGATGGCCTGTAAATCAGGCTGAAAACGTTTGTTTTTGAAATAAATATATTTCTCGGCAAAGATAAGGTGTTATTTATATGCTATATGATAAAACTAAAAGTCAATGATGTTATTTGAATATAAAATACTCTTTTATTGTAATTTCAGTGTTGCATTAATATTACAAATGTTACAACCTTCTGTACTCTTAAATGTGGATTCACACCACAACCATTCAGTCTAGTTCATTCATCTCCACTGGTAGTTACTGTAGCAATGAAACATGGACAATGAACAGGATGGACAAGATGACATTTAGTTAGTCAAACTTTTAAAGAATGACAACATCCTGAAGAAATCAGCCAATTGTTGAAGATGTGTGCAAGAACATCACAACCAATGAAAGGTATTGTTCTACATTTACGTAGTTTGGCAATATGGAATCATAAGTACTGACTATAATATCTTGCATGGGAGAACAAGAAAAACAAATTTTCAATTTTAGCAAAATGGAAGGCAAAGATTTTACAAAATGTTAATAGAAAAGGTAAGGCATTATATGTGATGATGTAATCTGGCATTACAAACAGCATAAAATCTCAACCAATGGTTGAGATTTTATGCTGTTTGTATTGCCCTAAGCAGTTTGGTGCTCAAAATTTCTCAATTTTTGACTGTGTCTCAACTTCATGATTTAAAACACATCATAAGATCATCTTGTAATTCATCAGCCTGCTGAAACTAGGGTTCACACATACAATGTTTCATAAATTCAGAAGAATGACTATAGAAGAACAGCTGTTTTCATTAGCCTAAAACAAGAGAAAGTTTTCCAGCATATTGCAGAGCAGAGTTTACATTAAACGATGTTTAACAGCCGAACAGCCTCTAGACATTGGCTGGCTGAACCGCAGTTTAAAATGCATTGCAAAGATGACAATCGTTTACTTCTGAATGCCATCTAAACGAACCTTGGCTCTTACTTTCTTCGCTATTACTCCTGTCTCTCTCTCGGGAGTTGTTTAATTAACCAATCAGGCCATTCATTTATGACGTCAGAAAAATAGTGATGAACAATGTGTTGAAATCATGCTGGAATTTTTCCAAAGAAGAAAAAAATGTCCTTGCAGAAATTATAAAAAATTATCCTGCAGCTGAGGAGAAAGGTTACAACAATTGTATTCTGGGATGAAAAAACTGCATGGGAGATGATACAGAATAAATTTTCTTCATTTCCTTGTTGGTCTGCTTGCAGCAAGACCTTATTCTTATTCCTTAAACAAGACCTCATTCTTATTATAAACATCTATCACTATACAAAAGTTGTTCAAACTCATCAATATGATTTAAAAAATGAACAAATCCAGAGTTAGAAAATCTATACTGAATTTGAAATTTGTCTTCGGAATAGATTTCTAAAGGATTACTCCAATCTCATATTACCCTCTACACCAGTGTAATAAGTCCTACTAATAAACAAGGTCCAAAGTAGACAAGGATATGAATAGAAATTGATCTTCCTTTAACATCCACTTTGTGTGAAATTTGAATTTGTGTAAGTTGAGATAATTTACAGTGAGTTTCTGAAATGACAGACTCTGCTTGACATGACGGTTAGTCGTTGGTTAAATGTTTATTATGTGCAGAACAACACATGCATGACTTTAAATTTATACTTATAGTTTGAACGGTTGTTCAAATTACATTTCTTTTAAAAACTTTTATAAATTCACATTTGTTCTGAAGGACATTCCATTGGGTAACCATTGTTACACCTGAAGAACTCAGGAGGAGTTAGAAAATGTTTGTGCAGAGATCATCTTTTGTTTTCGACACACTGGTAATTAGTTCTGTGTTTGTTATCAAAAATTTTTTCAAAGTTCATACTTATGTCCCGGCTAAAAACCTTTATTATTAAAAAACCTATAAAGAATTTAGTGAAATGTATTATTTACCAAACAGTTATGCCTTATGTCACAATTTGTGTTAATTGCTCATCCATCACATAACTTTGTATAAGAGACTCATCTCAGGAGAGAGATGCATTATTGAAAATCTTTGCACCACTCTTGTGCATGGTGTTTTGCCTTCAATCCTTTGAGTTACAATTGAATGGTTTCGAATGACTTGATGTTCTAGTGTGAATCTGCCTGAACTGTAATTTACACTGAACATTGGTAGTAAATCCAGTATCATGCCTGACCAAAAGACTGGCCATGCAAAGCGTTCCAAGTTTTCTTCATGTCTAACACTTAAATAGAGACCAGTCTCTATTAGAAAGTATTCCTGGAAAGAATCCTCCTTAACATATTGGCCTTGTATTGCATTGCCTCATCCAGTCAAAAACCAAACCAAATTATAAGACAGTTATCCAAATAACCAGAGTATTTGAATATTCAATATTTTTAATAATAAATATGTTCCATTCAAAACCAGATAGTTGCAGCAACAAGTTATATTTTAGTTATCCAATTTTAAACTGTTTGTCCAATTTATATATCAAAAATATGTATTTGTAGTTAAAATGATAATTACTAAGGAAAAATGATTTCAATAGATAATTTAAAGAATATCACTATAAAATATTTGATTAAATAGAAACTAAACAAACATTTTATATTATGTTATTATTTAGATCAATTCAATCAATTTTTTAATGAAGTAAATGAAATCTCAAAATATTTTCTGTAAAACAGAAATTTGTTGTGTGTATCAATTTTTTAAAAAATTCTTAAATATATTAAATAAACACACAATTAAAAAACAGATAATACTGACAGTAATCAATTTGATAGTTTAAATAATTTATTTTTCTTTCCAATGATTACAACTAAAGCTTTCAAAACACTTTTATAAATTAAATGCAGGATTAAAATTACATATCTTTCATATATTAATAAGTATTTAAATACTGTGTAAATTTAAATTTCTGTAATTATTACACCACCTGTAGTATGATATTTCTGTGTCTTCAGTCTTCCTGTATTCATCATTTGTGCTGTATTGAATTATTTTTCAATTATTTATGTCCATCTTTATTTCTTCCAATATACTTTTTATAATCTCACTCTTTATTCCTAACATTCAGACTGTTTTCAAGTTTCTCTTCTAGAATCCATTCTGAACATCTTTAATAAAAGTTCAGAATGGATTCTAGAAGAGAAGCTTTTGCAATATTGTGCCAACTGTTTTGATTTTAGGTTACATATAATTTCAAAATTATTTCTCTCTGACATTTTTAGTAAAAAAAATTGAGAAAATTTTTTTAAAAGTCCACTTCTTTTAATCAATAATTTGTGTTTATTGTCATACACTGCAGGCTTACCAGCACCCAAGTGGTCTTCGTTCCCTGAACACTGGCTGGGAGTTTGGTCATGGGTTTGCTCCTCACTCAGACGGGCTGGCCACATTAAGTTTTCCACGTCTCTAACACCTAAATAAGGGACAGTTTCCCGTAAAAAGACCTCCCAGAAGGCATCCCCCTAAGCAAGATCACCTAAGTGTTGCATTGCCATAACTAAGCAAGCAAACAAACATACACTACATGTTTGCTCTGTATAATACATCAAATATTCAACAACGGTGATTAATTTTTGTACCAAATTTATCCCTCAAAACTCCTTTTTAAACTGATTCAATTCATCTCATTTTAATTCTATTATTAATTTGATTTGTGTCTTCTATCTTTACATTTTCAAATTAAATGTAAAGAAAATTAAAACTTTCAAATTAAATGACAAATTACCTTCAATTGTTACTAAGACATAACAAAAAATAAATCTGATTTAATGAATATACTAACCAATGAAATAAACCTTAATTTATAAATGATCATGCAACAGAATTTTGAAGTGG